CCCGGGGCCCTGCCCGCCCCATGCGCAGTCGTGCGACGTGCTGCAGGGCAGCCTGGTCGACCCCAGCGGCGGCAGCAGCGTGCCCACGGCGGTGCTGGTGCACGGCATCCTTGGGTCGCGACGCAACCTGCAGGGCTTCGCGCGCATGATCGTCGAGGTGAGGCCGTGGGAGACAGCCAGCCAGTCCCCCTGCTCCCTGCTCGCTCGACTCTGCAGGCCTCGGCCGCACGGGCCCGGGCGGCCGTCGCGCCGCGACCACTGGTACGTGCTCTGGATCCGCCCGCACATCTCAAGCCTGTTCTAGTGGCGCCCCGCCTCGCCGCGAAACCGCGCGGCCCCTACCCCGCGCGCGCCAGGGGTTCCCCTCCTGGCGGGTCGTGCTCGTCGACCTCCGCTGCCATGGCGAGAGCGCCGCCGCCGCCGGCGGCGCGCCGGCCCCCGGGCCGCACACCGTCGACTCGGCCGCGCGCGACGTGCTGCAGCTGCTGCGCGCGCGCCGCATGTTCCCAAACATGCTGATCGGCCACTCGTTCGGCGGCAAGGTGGTCATGTCGATGGCGCGGCAGTTTGCGAGCGGCGCGGGGACGGCGCTGCCACGGCCCGTACAGGTCTGGGTGCTCGACGCGCCGCCGGGCGAGGCGCGCGCCGGCGGCGGAGCGGGCGGCGGCGACGACGTCGACCACCCGGCGCGCCTCATTGAGGCGCTGGCGCGCGTGCCCATGCCGGTGGCGGGGCGCGGGGAGCTGGTGGAGCACCTGACGCGCCAGGGGTTCAGCGCTGCCATTGCCACGTGGTGGGCGGGCCGACCTGGATCGCGGCGCCTGGGGCTTGGAGATCGGCCTTGTCAGTGTAGGATGCACGCAGGGTCTAGGCATCTCGTGGTCCGCGGCTTCGTGCTCGGAGACGTGCACTGGGGTGCTCCCCTTCCCGGACCCAGCTCCCCCCCTTTCTCCCCGCCCTGCCTTCAGCCGCCGCGCTTCAAGCCTGCACGCGTGCTTCTGCACCCGCGCAGGATGACCACCAACCTCCGCCCCTCCGAGTCCGGCGGCCTCAAGTGGGCGTTTGACCTCGAGGGCATCGCCCAGATGTACGCGTCCTATGAGGCCACCGCGCTGTGGGACCTGCTGCGCGCGCCGCCGCAAGGTCTGCGCGTGGACTTTGTGAAGGCGGCGCGCAGCGCGTTTGGCTGGGACGGCGAGGGCGCGATCGGCGCGCTGGGGCACGGCGTGCACCTGCTGGACGCCGGTCACTGGGTGCACACGGACAACCCGGGTGAGGGGCAGGGGTGCGGCCCCGGGCCTGGGGCGCGCGGCGCGCGACGGGTGCGGGCGGGGTGTGGGAGTGGCGAGGCTCTGCGCAGGGCACCGGCGAGATGGGCAGATCGCGGCTCTGTGTTGACGCTGTGTCAACCCACTTGGCCTTTACTGCTGGTCGTTTTTTTGGCTCACGCTGGCGTCTACTTGTAAGGTGCACACACACACACACACACACACACACACACACGCACGCACGCACGCACGCACGCACGCACGCGTGCGCCCGCAAGTGCACACGTACGCACCACACTAACACACACACTCCCACCTACTTTTCCACGCATCAGGCGGCCTGTTCAACATCCTGGCGCCCAGCCTTGGGGAGTTGGACCACGGCCGCCGGCAAGCACGCCAGCTCGCCCACTGACGTTCGCCTGGCTCTCCGACGCTCGCTCAGCTCGCTGAGCGGCGCAGGCGCGGCGCCTGCAACCCAGCGCAGCCCCAGCAACCCAGTGCAGCGTCTGCGGCCCGGTGCTGCGTCTGCAGCGGGCCGGCTGCCTTTACGGCTCCGCTTGCTCAACTCAAAACGTACGATTTGCCACACAGCTCATTGCAGTGGCGCCACGCGGGCCGGCCGATCCGCCCCCTGCTACCTGCGTCACAATCAAGCCGGCCGCAAGCTTATCCGCTCTGCAGCCTGCAGCTGGCCGAGGGCGAGCGCGGCCCTCGGCGTGGCTTGGGATCGCCCCGCGCGCTCAGTCTGCGCCTCACTCGTCGCTGCGCTGGCTTCCGTCCCTCGGTGCCGACGAACCCATACCATCTGCCAGGCGCAGCGCGCCGCTCTCGTGCAATCGCACCTGCACGCACCGTCCGCCCCTTCACAGCGGCCGTGCCCGGGGCTGCGGAGCCGGCTCTTGCCGCTGATGGCGTCCTGCGGAATTCGTTTCTTATGCACACCCCGTACTGCTGAGCAGCCAGCAGTGCCCCGGCCCCCGGCATTTTGGGGGTGTCGACCAGAAGCATGGGGCGGCGCTCATTCGCAGCCCAACCGCACGCCCCATTGCTTGTCAGCTCACGCAGCGATGCGTGTGCTGGCGGTTGTGGGGAAGGGCCAGCACCGAACTGCACAGGCCCAAAGCTCTGCTTTGGTGCTCATTACCAGCTTGGCTCTGAGCCCGCTGGTGTCTTCCAGCATATCCCTGTGGCGCACAGTGCACGCAGGCGTACAAGCGCGCGGTTTGGTGAGCACCCTGTGTCCTGGTGGTTTGTGACGCACCAGTGCATGGGCACCTCTTCCCGCCCCGCACATATGCATGCGTTGGCTTGAGAGGTTGGCGGAGGCCGTGCTCGCACCCCGGACGGCACACGCTACCCACCTCAGGCGACCATGGCTTACTGTTCTCGCCGCCTGCGCGCCCTCATGGCTTGCTGCTTGGGGAGGCACTTCTTTCCGCCCTTGCGCACCTGCACACCATCGTGCCACCTTTGCACTAAGGGCAAGCTTGGGACGTGCTTCTTTGAATTTCTTCTTCTTGGTCTCCGGCAAGGTCGATTTGAAGTCTCAAGCAGGGCCCGTCGCTGCCGCACGGTTGGGCATCGCGCGGCAGGGCGTCCCCTGGCATGCGCGGCCGTGGTTGGGCATCACGCGCTGCGCAGCCGCCCAGGGTCTGCTTGCATCCGACTGCGCTTTCCGGCGCTGACAGCCTGCACCCAGTGCTGGCGCTGGCAAGGACATTTCCATGTTCACACGTCCCCCTTCCTCCCCTCGCCCGCCGCACCCCCCCCCCCTTTATCGGGCCCACGGGGCGAGGGGCGCGCTCACATCTGCACACCTCCCTGGCGTGCGTGGTTGGCTTGACGGTCTGTTCGCTGCGTTGGTGGTTCTCCAGGAGCCACGACTGTGCGCGCTGTGCCGCGCCCACATGTTCGCGGCAGACTTGAAACCCTGTACCGGGCACTTGAACCTTCATAGGGCCCTTGAACCTCTATATGTGTTTCCTTGCAACCCTTACAACGGTCTCGGCGTCCTGTACACTAATAGCTCTTGTAACAGTACTGTTAGCATACTGCGCTTGCTCGCATATGACACCGCGTCTCTCTTCAGGTTTGGCGCCAGCGCTGCAGGCAGCTGCAGAGGTCTTGACGGGCAGCCTAACAGTTTATAGCAAAGGCCATGGGTTCCTGAGCGACCAAGCGCTTTCGAGGGGCGCCGTGTTGTAGCCGAGTGCGGTTGTGAGGCAGGGCGGCAGGCGGCTGCAGCTATGTGGGGTGGCAGTGGAGGAGGGGGCGGACAGACTCGATTGGGATGCCCATGTGCACATTGGGTCCACCCGCTGTGATCAGCCGTCACCCGCATGCGCGGGTGCCCATCGGCTGCGCAATTCCGGCTGAGGTGGGGCAGGCGCAGCGCAGCCCGAGGCCTGTGGCAGCCACAAGCAGCCGCGAGTGCCTGGCAGCGCGAGACTTTCCAGCCCGACTTCTGGAGTCAAGATGGTATCGAATGCACAGGTGCCCTGTTGGCGGTATTGCCTGCACTCGGGGCTGGCCATGTTGCTCAAGGTGAGGGCGCTCTGCATTTCACAAGCCGCTGCTGCGCGCGTCGCCAAGAGCCTGGGCTTATCCAGTTGATGCTGACGCCCAGGTTTTGCTGGCAGCTTTCTCATCAAGAAAGGAGTAAAATGGCTGCCATCTGTGAGGCGGATAGTTCTTTATTTTCGGGATGCACCTAATCACTGAGTAGCGCTCACGCATTGGGCAAGCGCGCCGGCATTAATTTGTATCTGCTGCCTTCTCGTTTTTGCTGTGCACCCTCGCAGCACACAGCTGACGAGCCCCTTCCAACCATTGAATTGCGACGTAGGTCAACCTGTCCAGCTCTACCGTCTGCACCTTGCTGCCACAGCTGTTCTGTGCGCACCCTCCTGCCGCAACTCGGCCCCACGGCGGATGCGCCGCACTTTTAGCTTGCTTGAGCCCCTTGCATGCCATTGCAAGTCATACACTCAGTAATTACGTCAATCGATTGATGGTTTCAGAACTTGCTGTGTTGAACCTGCAACACTGCAAGCCTGCTAGGGCGGTCAGCAGCAAAGTCAAAGCACACCAAGGCTCTGGGCTGGGGGCACAGACGTGCTGAGTTCGTAGCTCCCGGCTGTTTAGCTTGAGTTTGAGTCTCACTTGCAGCTCTATCGCTGCCAAAATGCCCAAGATTCCTGGAGTGCGTTACCGGTGACAGACTGTTCAGCCCGTGAACCAGCGCGCAAGCAGGATGTACCTGCTTCGCGTTGTGTTTCAAATATCGTTTGGCACTGCTTTGTGAGTCGAGATGCAGCGGCCCACCGGCATGCGCTGCGCGCCAGGGCCGAGCTGCACTCCCTGGGGCAGAAACCCCTCCGCGCTGGTATGCAATAGCAGCAAGCGGGTGGGTACAACCGTTTCTAGCCCATTGAAGTGGACGTCACGGAAAGGTGCGCGATCCCTGTTTGAGTGGTTCGTGCCGCACTCCGACCTGCAGAGGCCTTCGCGCTCGCCCATTAGCAGCCGTGAAGTTGAATCTGAGACGTACTATCTCACTGCAATTCACGAGAGCGCGTTCCACTGCTGCGTTGTCGGTGCCGCCGGTGCCGCCTCTCGTGCTGCAGCCGACAACAAATACGACGTTGTGCTGTCGAGCGGGTTCCTGGCGTTTGCGAACCACTCAGGGTTTCTGCAGGCGGTCGATGAGGTACGGCCGGCCGCTGGGGCTTCCTATAGCCAGTGTATGCCGCCCTGATGAGCTAGGTCGCTGGCAGCAGTGCCGAGGGCCAGCTGCTGCTTCCAGCGGCTTGCGACATGACGAACGCCGTTGCTCTGCTCGCCTGGACGTGTCGTAATGCTGCAGCTGCTGCTGCCGCTGCCGCCACTGCCACTGCAGGCCGGCATACAAGTCTCGGGCATAATGGGCACCAGCGCTGGGGCCCTGGCGGGCAGCTTGTATGCTGCAGGCTACACGCCGCGGGAGGTGCGACCCCCGGCGGCCGCAGTCACAATGCAGCCTGCTGGCGCCCCCGCAGCTGAGTGCATATGCATCCTTCCCTCCGGACAGCTGAAGCCCCCCGGGCCCTTGCTGCTCAAGCCCCTCACGCCCGCTCGCAACGCCCGTCCCGCCCCCTCCCTCTCCGCCCGGCGCCCCACCACGCCCCTCCACAC